GGTCAAAATATGCCTAGCACCTATCTTTCATGATTTTTCTCATTTTCATGTGGGAGCAAATGGATTCTCAGGTGGGTGCAATCCTCTTGTCAAAATCTCAGGTGGGTGCTGCACCCACTTGTTTTAATTCTGGGGAGATCACTGAACTGATATATAACCCACAGTTGGTCACCATGTCTTGTTAAGTGTTTCAGCCTGGAAAATATGTCAATCATTTTTTGTGGTATGTTAGTCTCAAATAGAATCTTGAGATGTACTGAGAGGCTAATTAGTCTCAGTCAACTGCCTGAAATGTATGCTATGCTTCAACAAATTGCTTTAGGACTAAGGGGAGTCTATGAAGATAATACAACTCTCAGAACATAATATATAAAACATGAAAACCATATATGATTAATGAGATCTCATATAAAAAGTTATAAAACTTTATAACTATTGATCCATCGAGATATGGTATGAGCCCATCAAAATGTGAGGAATAAAGGCATCAAAAACATTGATTGGATAATAAAACTAGTTAGTAATATGACAATACACTAACCTTCCAGTATGTGACAAATAATTAAAACTGTTGATAATAGATGAGAAAAATATTTGACTGAAGATCTGACTGTTTTATGGACTATAATATTGAAACCAAATTCGGACTTCTACACAACCAATTTAATTTGGTGCCATTTCTACATCGAATACTGATCGAATCGGTGCCTGCTAAATGGCATCAAACAAATCAGCTCAAACTGCATTGAATTGGATATAGGATATACTCCAGCTCCACAATCATCTTTGCCACTGATATTGACAGTATACTAAAATATTCAGTCAAGTCGACTCTAGATTTTGGAATATTGCGCAAGATGTGAACTACAGTAGAACCTGAATTTCCAAACACCTTTAGTATGAACACCTCTCAATTTGAACACATTTTTTTGTCCTAATTTTTTTATCTCCCATTGACTCATATTACAAATGGCATTAACATGCAAAAAAGACACCACCTGCTATTTGTTACAGACACCAACTGCTGAACACCAACTACCAAATTCCAAACACTGTCTACAAAAAGTTGGAGAATAAAAACATGAAATGTGAACTCTTGCTTAATTCAAATACTTTTGGCTGGTTCCAATGGCTTTCAATTTAAGGTCTTACTGTACTCTTGCGATGGTGACATAAAAACATGAAATGTGAACTCTTGCTTAATTCAAATACTTTTGGCTGGTTCCAATGGCTTTCAATTTAAGGTCTTACTGTACTCTTGCGATGGTGACATAAAAACATGAAATGTGAACTCTTGCTTAATTCAAATACTTTTGGCTGGTTCCAATGGCTTTCAATTTAAGGTCTTACTGTACTCTTGCGATGGTGACATAAAAACATGAAATGTGAACTCTTGCTTAATTCAAATACTTTTGGCTGGTTCCAATGGCTTTCAATTTAAGGTCTTACTGTACTCTTGCGATGGTGACATAAAAACATGAAATGTGAACTCTTGCTTAATTCAAATACTTTTGGCTGGTTCCAATGGCTTTCAATTTAAGGTCTTACTGTACTCTTGCGATGGTGACATAAAAACATGAAATGTGAACTCTTGCTTCATTCAAATACTTTTGGCTGGTTCCAATGGCTTTCAATTTAAGGTCTTACTGTACTCTTGCGATGGTGACATAAAAACATGAAATGTGAACTCTTGCTTAATTCAAATACTTTTGGCTGGTTCCAATGGCTTTCAATTTAAGGTCTTATTGTACTCTTGCAATGGTGACATAAAAACATGAAATGTGAACTCTTGCTTAATTCAAATACTTTTGGCTGGTTCCAATGGCTTTCAATTTAAGGTCTAATGGCCTAGTCACATAGCCCGGCCGATGAGGTAACGATGAGCCAGCGATGCAATTTTCACCGAACTCGGCCGAACACCGGCCGGACATCCGTGGCGTTTGTTGCTTAAAACCGCATCGGTGGTAGCTCGGTGAAATTTTAACTTCGGAGTTAAATTTCACCGGCTCTCACCGAGCTCCCTCATCATGTCATCGCAGCCCCATCGTAACCACATCGGAAAACACGTCGGCCGGTGCACGGCCGAGTATCGGCCGGTGTCCCGTGCATCTGAGACAACCAGAGGACGAGGTTTTTTAACGGACAGCGGCCGAGCTCCGGCCAATGTGGGACAGAGCATCGGCCAGTCACTGTTCAAAGCCCATTAACAACCCAGCCGGCGATCGCACGGTGTCCTGTTACCTGCTCGGGTACCGGCCGTATTCCTTCCGATGTCCGGTTGACCTCCGGCCGGTAGTTGCTGCCACATCGGCAGAAAAAAACTACCATTTTGAGACAGACTCCGTACGGTCACCGGCCGGTGTTCGGTCGGTCGCCTGAAGATGTCCGGACAGAGTCCGTTCACGTCACCGAGCTCTGCTTCCGATGAGGAGAGCTCGGTGGCACCAAAAAAATCCACCGAGCTCTACCAATGCCGGACATCGGCCGGGCTATGTGACTAGGCCATTACTGTATTCTTGCGATGGTGACATAAAAACATGAAATGTGAACTCTTGCTTAATTCAAATACTTTTGGCTGGTTCCAATGGCTTTCAATTTAAGGTCTTACTGTACTCTTGCGATGGTGACATAAAAACATGAAATGTGAACTCTTGCTTAATTCAAATACTTTTGGCTGGTTCCAATGGCTTTCAATTTAAGGTCTTACTGTACTCTTGCGATGGTGACATAAAAACATGAAATGTGAACTCTTGCTTAATTCAAATACTTTTGGCTGGTTCCAATGGCTTTCAATTTAAGGTCTTACTGTACTCTTGCGATGGTGACATAAAAACATGAAATGTGAACTCTTGCTTAATTCAAATACTTTTGGCTGGTTCCAATGGCTTTCAATTTAAGGTCTTACTGTACTCTTGCGATGGTGACATAAAAACATGAAATGTGAACTCTTGCTTAATTCAAATACTTTTGGCTGGTTCCAATGGCTTTCAATTTAAGGTCTTACTGTACTCTTGCGATGGTGACATAAAAACATGAAATGTGAACTCTTGCTTAATTCAAATACTTTTGGCTGGTTCCAATAGCTTTCAATTTAAGGTCTTACTGTACTCTTGCGATGATGACATAAAAACATGAAATGTGAACTCTTGCTTAATTCAAATACTTTTGGCTGGTTCCAATGGCTTTCAATTTAAGGTCTAACTGTACTTGATTAAATAATAAAGAAATCTCATTCGATAAGAATCACAAACCAAGATCAGAATTTGATCAGTTCTGAAATAAATTATACGATATATTCATTGGGAGACCCCCTAATTTTACTTCATCCAATGCAATTGTTATTGCATACTATAGATAACTGGGAGACTCAATCCAGATTTTGAGCAGTTATGACTAAAATAAAATTTACTTGCTTTAGAAGGATTCCTGCCATCATTTCTAATTTTTGAAATTGTTGTTATGAAAGTCATGCTTGGAGGCATCAACATCGATCCGGCTGTCTCCTAAAGGAGAAATCTTGCTCCCTTATTACTCCCTTTGATCAACCACTTTAACTCTGATGAGCCTCCTGTTTATCTCAATGTTGGTTTAGCATTGAATATATCTTTTGACAGTCTACAGAGGTTGAAATTTTAACTTTACTTTAGTTCAATCATTTATAGATGTAAAATCTGGAAAAATCTTGTGCAATCATTTTTAGATGTAAAATCGGGAAAAGTCTTGTGCAATCATTTTTAGATGTAAAATTGGGAAGTATTGTGCAATCATTTTTAGATGTAAAATCGGGAAAAGTATTGTGCAATCATTTTTAGATGTAAAATCAGGAAGTCTTGTGCAATCATTTATTGATGTAAAATCGGGAAAAGTCAAGTCTAAGATGCTTCAGTTTCAAAAGCCTATAATTAAATTGTAAATCAAGATATTTAATTGACAAAATAATACCCAAGCAGGGTCTTCATGTCATTTTGACTCTTAAACAGCAAAATGTCTTAATCTTTTCTCTAACTTCAGCCATTTCTACGAATCCTTTGATAAATAATACAGAATCTCCTGAAATCTCACTTAAGCCTAATTGAATAGAAGCGTTCCTAAATATAGCATATTGAGACTGCTTTGAATAAGTTTTGTCACTTTAGGAACATAAAATATCTGTCTCATGAAGTATCTATCAATCATTTATTCAATCCTGAAAAATTGACTTTAGACTCTATATGAAATCCAATATCACATTCTTTCAGAATTTATTGTGTCCTATATCAAATAAAGGGTGACATATCCCCTAATTTTATTCTCAATTCTATAAATTTCTCAACTACTGAAGGAAAATTTTTCAAACAATCAGATATGCAGTATGGGATTATTTCCCTTGGTTGGTTGGTGTTATTACAGTGAAACCTGTGAACTACAGAAGAATTAGAACACCTTTGTTAGTGGAACACTTTTCAGAGACCAATTGACTCAATGTTAAATGAACCTCTATTAGTGGAACACCTCCCAAGTGAAACACTTTTAAGAGGTTCTAAAGACGTTCCATTTAGACAGGTTTTACTGTACTGTACTGTACCAACAATCCACTTTTCATATTTTCATGCAAATGCCTTGTTACCCCATAAGCGAGCTACCACAAAATTTATTAATAATGTTCTTAATTGAACTTGTTAATAATTTCATGCTTTGAGGTAGAAAGTTAATTCATAGAGGAGTTTCTATAAAGCTTTGAAATCTCATTAAAGTCTCATTTTAATGAGATTTTGAGAGATCTGCATTTTTAACCACGAAAGACCGACATTTTCTTCTCATTCTAACTTGCCTACCTTATTTACTATATTTCTACTTGTAGGATGTCTCCCAGTTCCCAAGATGGTGTGTATCACATGGTATAGCCTAGATGTAATGTTCACGTCCTCAACTATAATCCACCTGTGTATGATCTCAATAGATCGCTATTGGACGTTCTCATTCTAACTTGCCTAGCTTATGTACTATATTTCTACTTGTAGGATGTCTCCCAGTTCCCAAGATGGTCTGTATCACATGGTATAGCCTAGATGTAATGTTCACGTCCTCAACTATAATCCACCTGTGTATGATCTCAATAGATCGCTATTGGACGTTCTCATTCTAACTTGCCTACCTTATCTACTATATTTCTACTTGTAGGATGTCTCCCAGTGCCCAAGATGGTGTGTATCACATGGTATAGCCTAGATGTAATGTTCACGTCCTCAACTATAATCCCGTGTATGATCTCAATAGATCGCTATTGGACGTTCTCATTCTAATTTGCCTACCTTATTTACTATATTTCTACTTGTAGGATGTCTCCCAGTGCCCAAGATGGTGTGTATCACATGGTATAGCCTAGATGTAATGTTCACGTCCTCAACTATAATCCACCTGTGTATGATCTCAATAGATCGCTATCGGACGTTCAAAGACCCCTTAGTATATGGTCTCCAACGCACTAAACGCAACACAGCTTTAAAAATAATATTGGTCTGGATAGTTGCGATTTGCATCGCAGGCCCCTTGTTCATTCTCTCAATGCTTGATACACATATGGATGAAATGTATTATAAGGGATGCGGTCCAGAGACACCGACTTTCGTCATATCAGCGACTGTGTCGTCATTCTACCTTCCGCTGCTCATCATGACTATTATGTATGTTTTAACTGTGAGAGAACTCTACAAGACACGCGGAAAGTCCAGATATACTCCCGCCCCTGAAGTTTGTATATCAGAGCCCCCTGGGAGCAATGGGGAAAAACACAGATTAAACCGCTCACCCAGTCAAGTATCGAACATGTCCTATATGTTTTACAAAGTGAAAGATACGTTCATGGAGAAGCGTAATTCGATGTTTGACTTAACAAGTGAGAGGAGACTAAGTGTCGGTAAATACAATAAAGACGCTTCTGCCAAGCGAAGTTCCATACAACTTGAGCTAACTAATGGAAATAGAACATTCAGTGCGTCAAGATCAGACATAGATCTTTGCCTTGAAAATACACACGCTTTAAGGTCGTGTCAAAGTTCACTTGGGATAAACCACGATATTGACAATAATGTGAAAAAGAGCCGGTCCAATCCCGAGGATACAGGCAGTGTTCCAGGGAGCCCATATAGGCGTAACCTAGGCGACGAATGGAAAGAGACATCTATAGGGAATGGCAATAACTATCACCGCATTCCGAGAGATCGCCCAACTAATTCTTCAACCAGGAGTCAAAGTAACGCCGACGCAAAAGCTCGGAAAGCTGTACAAGTTCTTGGCATATTATTTGCAGTGTTTGTGATATTCTTCCTGCCTTTCTTCTTGGCATACACAACAATGAGTCTCTGCGTCCAATGCCGACAATATATCACACCCACAATGGTGACAATTTTCGAATTCCTGGCCTACTCAGCCAGCATGATAAACCCAGTTATATACCATATATTCAATCCCGACTTTCGAAGAGCATTTTATAAAATTCTACGCTGCAAAAAAGTACGAAGGACTTATAATGTAAGTTCATATAGTAAAAATAGTTTACATAAAACATCCAGTGTCTAGCATAGTCCTCACTTCTTCACTGGGTGGCTCAAGATAATGAAAACGTAAAAAGTTAGAACTAAAAGGATTTCAATGTAAAATATATATAAAAATTGTCTTTGGTATATCTAGCCATGCTTTAGCTTCAGATATGAAATGTACATGTAGGCACTAAGGAACATTCAAAAACATTAAAAAACATAAAATTGATATACTATGACCAATTGTGTTCTGTTTTCCTGTAAAACGTCATTCAACATGACCCAGAGGTTCTAATTTGTGATCTGTCAACATAGGGTGAAATGTGACAGTTCCAAAATCAATGTGCACCTATTGACAAATTCTGGTTTATCAGACCCCCTCTTATCTGAGTTTGGAAAGAAGGGCACAATTATTGTGATGACATTGACTTAACTGACACCTAATCATAATATCAATAGTTTGTTTTTCATATCAAATCAACAAAATATAATCCCCAAAATCCAATCACAAAATATTTTATTTGTATTTCAAAGATTCAAGCTTTATCCTTACATACTCTAAACATTTCAAAATCATCGTAATAGCAGAAAAGTATCAACTTTCAATCAAAGATACACAAAAGTTACAGTAGGTCTCTGGTATATCTTGTTGCTAGCAAAACCAAACACATGAGCCTCATGACTTTATTATTAATAACAATGTGACATTTCAACCACGGCACTAAGGTAGGGCATGCTACGTTCAATTAATCTCATATCTGTAATAACAGTTATATAGGAGAAAAACTAAAGACAGCGATGAGGCGATGTTGACACTAAGTAGAATTTATAGTGAAGTAAATTAAGAAACCACTGAGCGAGGCATTGTTGCGCCACTGAGTATTGCTTTCACCTTTGTAGTTTACCAGTAATTAAAATCACAGCTAGCGTCATTTAAAACGGGGGATATTGCGGCAGAGTGGAAGAAGCCTGCAATGGGAGCACATAGGAATGACATGGTCAAGAAATGCCATGTAGTTATGTATTAAAAGAGACTTCCTAGAGAAAATAAGTATTGAAAAATACATAGAAAGACATTTAATGGAAAAGTAAGGGTCACCAACAGCATAAATAATAGTGAACAAGTCAATAATTGAAAAATAATTGACAAGTTTGATAGTATGGGAAACATGATTGTAAAATACTTGACTCGATGCATTCTTAGTGGCTCGATGCATTCTTAGTGGCTCGTTGCATTCTTAGTGGCTCGTTACAATCTAGCTTGTAATATATTAGATTTAAATTGGAAAACCGCAATATTTTGGCAAAAAATGCAAGAATTTGTCAAATCAACTATGTAAACTGATGAAAATTGAGTCATTATCTCAGTGTTTTGTTATTTTCAAACACATGCTGAAATAATCAATGGTTTATTTTAATTTTGCAGTGATCTCTCCAGCATGGAAGTGGTCAGTCACTTTATTCATTTACATGCAGGTTGCACTTGCATTCGCTGGTATCAACTGCTGGCTGTTGGCTGACATTTTGATAGCTATATATTTGCCAAATATAAATTGTATCAACTATAGTACTTTCATATTCCTATTTAAATGAGTTGGTCACAAAAAAGCAATCAATGACATATCGTCAGCTGCAATTGACTTTGCGAATGATAGCTTATACCAAGCCACATGATATCAAACAAGTAAGAGAGAAAAACATGTGTATCAACAAATAAACATCTATTGTTTTTGGAAATACTTCAAAAAAAGAAAATCCAAATAATTCGAAAATTCTGTTGTGACGTCTCTGAGAAATTTTGGGTAAAATTACAATTTGACAAAAATCACTGGAAGAAAACTAACACTAGATTTTTGAGTCAAGCTGACCCCTCCCTCATCATATAGTAGAATTATTGAGCAATGGTTTTGAGCTGACCCCATTCAAATATTGTGAATTTATGTAGTTATTGAACAAACTGTATGGAACAGATTGGCTAACTGAGCATAAAGAACAGTTTCCTTTTCAATGTAAAGAACTACTGACCTACACATCTATCCACTTAGAAGATTACGAATCTAGATAGATGGAGTGGTTTGTCATCTTTTAAAATCCATAATAACCCCAAAAAAGAGTGGCACTGATAGAACATGATATAAATGTGTGTCATTCAAGTAAAAGTGTGTGTCTTACAAGTAAAAATGTATGTTCTACAAGTAAACCTGGATTCCATACAAGTTAATGTATGTCATACAATTAATAATATGTGTCATACAAATAAAAATAAAAATGTGTGTCACAATAACTCCAAATAAAATAAACATGAAGAAGAATTGGCAGCTTTTATAGAGAAATTGAGTGGAATTAACATGACGAGGGGAACAGTATGTAAACATGAGAAATTATTTTTGTATTCAATCTCAGAATCCAGTTGATTTCAACGTCACTTTAAATTACTGTCAATAAAGAAATTATGTGATATCAAATCAATCAGTTTACATGCACGAAAAAATAATTCAATCTGAAAAATAGCAGCAATTTATCCAAAAAGAAAGCAATAACAGATTTCACAATATTTTCTGTTTAATCAATAGTAATGACAATATTTCTGTTAGAAAGCCTCGTAAAAATAGCCGATTACCTGTAATTCACGATGATATAACATCTCAATGGAACCAAGTTTCTCTTTAGGGGGACAATAAAACATGTTCAAATAGATCCACCACTGAGCATTACAATCTTTCTTAGAGGAATTGAAACTCCCTTTAGATATAAAACATGATGTAGTGTTTTCCCTGGCTTAAAACACACCCATGCTATAAACTCAACACTCCCTGGCTTAAAACACACCATGCTATAAACTCTATGCCAGTGCCAAGATAAAAGAAAGTAGAATATTCTCTCTCTGCTGTACATGTGAAATAAACAACAGAACACCTGTTGACTTTATCTCTTGCTTATTCTACTATTCATTTAACTGTTGTGAATTGTAAAATACTATCCATCTTTGTGAAATTTTGTGTACCCCTAAGACAGTCAGAATGCATATTTGAGCCTGTGGATCTGGCAGATAATGGAGAGTGGCGAATCTGAAAGCTAAAAAAGGGGGAGGCAAAATTTGAAGTCAGAAAAAAGTTTTTAGGCCCAAAATCTTTTTCTGGGCTAACCCTAGTGGGAGCGGGCCCCATGCCTGCCCCCTCTCCCCTCCCCCAAGATCTGCCGGTGATTGATGCTTATGATCAGATCATGTGCATTATTAAACACGCTTTGCATGATTTTCTGCTTTTTCATTTCCTGTTAGAAGCACCTAGCTGCATGAATGATAATGATACTAGTATATGATACAACTATAAGGCATCTACTTGACAAATGTCACCACCTGAGGCAGTTTTTATTTTATTTTTTTTTTTATTATTAAAATCAATGTAACATATTTACAGGTTTTAGTGGTTTTAGTTTACAATTCATACATACGGACACTGACACCAAATAAGCCTCAACACAGGAAAACCAGTCACAAAAATTAAAATTGAGGTACTGAGCCAAAAATGTGCCCAAGATTAAGAGGAAAATGTGCTTAACTCAAATCCGTCCTTTTGGTCTATGTCTCATCTGCAAGACAAAATTGTTCAGACATAACCCATTGCTGTTTTGAAACTTCTGTGCTTTTTAAGATAAACAAAAATCAAAATATTGAAAAAATCTGTGATTAGACCCCTTTTCAAATATTGATTTAAAAAGTGTCAGCTATTAGCAGAAAATGACCACTTCTTGGGGGTGACATAATACACCAATAATTAAATTGTTATACCTTACTTTTGGTGGTGCAAATACTACTACACACTATACCCCTAGCTTTTTCTATATAACACATGTAAAAAAAACTTTTCAAGCTGTAAAATACTCACAGAGAATTTCAGTCTAATTAGACTAAAAATTTATTTATTCAAGTGCATTATATAATATGCCTAGTTTCCTCTCATGAATGTCTGTATTTAGTTTAACTGTAACTCTACATATATTTGGGAAGGAGTTGTCTAATGAATGTGTGTGTTTTGTTAACTCTACTTACATGTGGGTAGAGGCTGTCTAATGAATGAGTGTATTTTGTTAACTCTACTTCTATGTGGGTAGAGGCTGTCTAATGAATATGCATATTTTGTAAACTCTACTTACATGTGGGTAGAGGCTCTCTAACTGTATGAGGTTGTGCTTCAACAACAGTGCTGCCATCTTATAAAGCGAGACAGGAGTTTCTAGCTCTGATGATTCCTGCAAAGAAAGTTTAATACTGTACTTGTATACATAAACGTTTATTAATTAGAGTTTCTCCCTTCCTTTACATTCAGATGTGATTTCAGTCTTTTAACAATGAACAGAAATTGGTCATTGGTCATATTTTGCATCATGAATCATAGATATTTTTCTAACTAAAATTGTTGAATGCAACGCCATCCAACAAATCCTGACCTCTATTGATGATATAAGAAAACCAGATTATTTTGATAGATCTATGATTTATGCATGGCAGCATTGTGTATGAACAAAAATGTAAAAGTGTTTGAAATTTTATAAGTGAATCCTTTTCCACCCTAAAACTGTTTGAATGGCATCAGAACCAATTCAGTATGAATTGCGTTATTTTTAGAGTAATATAATAGTGAGTTTACTTTTTTTTAAACTTTACAGTGATCTTCCCACCATTAGGACAAGTGAGTGCTGCACCCACTTGAGATTCTAATAATAGGCATGCACCCACCTGAGATTCCATTTGCACCCACTTCAAAAATTAGAAAAATCATGAAAAATAGGCATATTTTGATCATTGGTCTAAATTATGAAAATAAGAATTTTGCTCACGCTTGAGATAAAATCCTGGGGTGAACATTGTTCTATTCAACCCTATCTCTGTCTTTTGTATCTATTCCCATACTTCTAGAACTAAATGTGTCTGTCATTCACCATTTAAGCAGTAAAAAATAATTTGATACATGGGTCATTAAATGTTTCCAGTTTCCTGCTTAATGTCTAGTCTCACATCATGAGAATGTAATGTTATGCAATTCATCTACATAGGGTGCAAACATCATGAATAAAGCAATCATGGCAAATCACTCATTTAAAATGTTTTAAATAGTGCAGCACAGTGTGTAGCATTTTGAATCAACTTAGAAGACCTGATTAAATGTTTTTCTGGATTAAAATATTCAGTGGCCTTC